TGACTCACAGTGCAGAAGCAGAGAGATTTTTCTAGCTTTTCAGTTAGCTAGCAATCAACGGACCAGTCCATTATAGAAAAAAGAAAGAGGGATGTCCCACTGCTTCAGGTGAGGGTGGTACCATTTGTCTATATTTATCTATGTACTATACAGTAATTTGAGTAGAACTGCTCAGAACCTTGCTCCTTATAGTAAAGTGCTAAAGCTAGGATCTTGGAGATTTTGTTTCCTTCTACAACCAAACAAAACAGAGGATCAATTCTTCTCAAAGAAGCAGATATTCGATACCTCAAACTGTAGTTTATATTTTAATGAGGAGATATGCATTGTTAAGATAAATCTAAATCTTTTCTGTTCACGTTCAAGAGTCTTTACATTCATAATTGATTTCTTTAAAAACTGCCTTTAATTCAATTATCTTGATTAGACTCCTATCAAGCTATACTACAACATTATGTGAGCATGCCATTTAATAGCAAATACCTAATTAATGCATTCCTCTACATATACTGTATACATATAATTTGAATGGTTTGAACTGGATAACAACTGAAATCAGTGAGAACTTTGTACGATATACTTATTTTTATGAAGCATTTCATATATTCCATTTTCCCTGGCAAACATTCAGCTCAACTTCATTACTAAATCTGCAATCTAATTGGGTTACCCCAGTTAGGTTGGGTTAATTGTAATTTCAGTTTGGCAGTTCAATTCTTTTTCAGTGAGATTTCATTCCTTAAGGGAAAAAAACCTGATATAATTCTAATTAGTCAAATTCTAGTGGGAAAGATAGACAGATATAAATCTAAGATGTAACACCTGTCAAATATATTTCCTGAACTGAAAACAAGATAACTCATAACTCCCTAGGTGGCCTTAAAAAAACAATTTAATGGTATCTAAAATTTAAGTTCAAAGCTACTAATTTTAAGAGTAGGATAGAGAATTCACTGTCAGCAGTCACCACAGCAACTACAATGACACGATCATACATAATGTTGTCATTTAAACCCTCTCTCCCCCATGGGCACCCATGCTATCTGTGATGGGCAATGGTCTGGGACTGAACTCTTGTAATGGCCATGATTGAAAATGATAGTGGGCACAACCAAGGCTGGCATCTCTATAACCCCCTGTTCTCTCCCAGTCACATAAAATACAGTTTAGGCATAGACCTCAGTAACAAGGCACAATAATGTCAGAATGGCAGTATGTGTATCATGACAACATCATACAAATAATGTAATTGTGTACTTTGAATTATGATGCATGATGTAGTCATTTGCTCCCTTGCATCCCCCCCCCCCCAGAAGCCTGTGACTTGGGGTTGAGATTTACACATTATGCTAAGCTGTAACATATTTTGTTTGGTTTCAGTTAAATTTGATGTGTGAACTGCCCATTGTGGTTTATTAAATATATTTTATGGCTTAGTACAATATGATGTTAATGCTACAAATTGGGGATTGGCCAATAAATCATAGTTTGGATACTAAATTCAATTAAAGCTTCAGCTGTCCTACACACATACACATGGATAGACTTACACATCAGAAATACACACACAAGTGATAGGGTCACTTATCGGTGGAGAGATCTTCAAGGAAGTACAGCAATTTTGGCTGCATTAAGTGTGCTGGCTTTGAAATTAAAATCTTACTGTTTGTTTCCAAATTAGCCAAATTACTAACCATACCACCTAGGTGATGGCTGTACAATTGAGCGCTGGTTGTGATCTCCCAAGACAAGTAGAGAAAAACCATGGGTTATCCATCTATGTTTTCAAAGAATAAGCCAGGTCTTTTTAACATATCTATTTCTATATATCAACTGTACTGAAATTTAATAGGAAAGTTGTTGAAACTGACAAAACAGTGTAATAAAACAGCAGTTGTTTCTGAATGTTGTACAGGTAACTATTTCTGTTTAACCATTTGTTTTACCATTAGATGTTTTACACTATCAAAATTAATTCATTTGAGAAAAGCCATTTTTAAAAAAATCATTCTGGCCTCTCCATAAATTAACAATGTATACCTGATGGCTTTATTTTTGTTCATCTATGACTAATTACAAGAAGCTATATGGTAGCTCCTAGAAATCCAACCTAGCAGGTCTTGACCTGCACAATAAATCTGCTTGTTATACCAAAGTTAGACAGGTAGATCAAGGGTTTTCTTTTTTTTGGCACAGGAATGGATGTCTTTTAAAAAAAAACAAATCCTCTCCCCAGATTGTCAGAAGATGAGTCAAAAATTAACTTGTTGCTATATACCATAAAATAAATTCAGTATCTGTTTATGTGTATGTGGTGTGTATGTAGATATGTGGAACAAATATTAAAATAAGTGTCTCTCTATTTTCAAGAGTTTTCCATTCTCCAAGATGCTTGATTGTGATGAAAAAGGGATGAATAAGGGTGTTCTGTTCTGATCACAAATCCCTCTGGAGGACATTATCTGTACCTGAATCCCATACTCAACTCCCTTTTGCTCCCCATCATGGCATTTTACACAAATAACAAAAACTGTTTTCCGACTGCAGCTGCTTCCTGATCATTTTGTAATGCAACAATGCTCTAGATAAACAAATCAGAATGAGAGCAGCACAGAGGCCCAGAATTACAATGGAGTGAATTCACCCATCGGTTCCGTTCTCAGGAAGAAAGATTTGTTCCAAATTATCCCGCTCCTCCTTGAGATCCAACATTTGGCCAAAACTGAGCCACACCCTTAACATTTTATCTTTACAATTCCAAAAGATTTGGATCCAAGTAAATTAAGAAGTGACTCTTCCAAACTTTCCAGTAGTGAGAGAACAGTATTTTCCAGTATATCAAGAAAGGAGTGAAGATTTTTAATCGTGGCCCCTGACTGGGGAATGCACTCCCAATGGAAACACAACTGGCTTCTTTTCAACATCAGGTGAAAAACCTATTTGCTTGTCCAGGCAATTTAGACTAGTTTATTTCCACTGACTGATGTGTATTTTCTGTCTTCTTTCACTGTAGGTAATTTAAATATTCTGCACAGTACTGGCATTTTAAAACATTTTGCTAAACATTTAATACCTATTAAAATATGTTTATGTTTAGTATTAAGAGTGAATAAATTAAAAATTAAAAACAACAAATTACATCAATTGCCCTCCTTTATGTCTCAAAACAAAATTGTCTGTTTTCTGAAGTAAAGAAGTTTGTGTTTATATTATATTTAAAAATACTATGAAGGGGAAATTTTGGGAGGGGGGGGTTCCCCACAAGGTCACATTCTTTTCATACTACCTGCTCTAGATAACAATAGCCAACAGAAAAGATGCTGCTTATGGCTGATGTTACCTTTTTCCCCACTGACAAGTGTGCCACAATAGCAATAGTCAATGGCATATTTATACCATAAACACTAACAGTTCTTGTTTATCTCACTGATATTTATCAGCTTTTAATGAGTTTGTATAAAGTTGCTGCACTTCGTATATAAAACAAGCAGCAAAAGAACAAGGAAAGAACTGACACCTTTCTTCAAACATGTTATTTTTCTAGACAAATAGATGATGAGAAAGTGGTAATAAGTGACGCCTTCTGTTTGCCTTAGCGAGAATGTGGAATTTATTACATAGAGATTCCCTCAATCTATGCTCTAAGATAACAGAAAAATCCACTCTTTTCTTGCTTTAATGACGATGTAAGGTACCAAAAGGGATACCTGTTTGTTTAGATATGCAAACATTTCCTCCACTGTAAAAGCAGGAAGTCAGTTTATTACATCTTAGCAGGTCACAGTCCCTATGTTAATGTTATGGTCTCCACTGGACAGGTGATAATAACTTTAAAAGAAATTATGAAAAAAACCCAAAAACCTGCTACTTATGCAGTCTCCATCAATACAATTACTTTTCTTCCTTACAGAATCTAGTGCTGCCCTCTGGTGTTTACTTTTTACTATTATAGTACTGCTTACCACAACTTAACTGAAATATATTTATAACATACATTCAAATCTCATTATGGAGCCTTGAATAAAAACATACTGAGGAAAGCTTTTAAAAGTACACAAAGTTAGACAAACTTTTAAAATAATAAGTAGCCGTTATTTGAAAATATTTAAACATCTACTCCTACTAAAACCAAAATACAAATGATAAAAAAGTATATGGAATATTTGACAAATGCTTGCTCCTTAATTTGGAAATGAGTGGAACACATTTGGTGATTGTTTTGTTATTACAAACTTGTATCTCTGTACCATATTTAAGAGCAGAGGCATCCACAAGGCAGCAAGGAAGTCAGACTGCTAAAAGTAACATTAAAATTCAAGTACCTCCCTTTTCTACATGCATTGTGAAGTTGCCTCCATGCCCCAAGGAGCGGTTCTTGAAGCAGAGTCCTGCAAGAGGGCATTCAGTTGAGGAAGGTTGTCGTGAAGTATCTCCATTTTGCTGTAATAATGCCTCATATGTAAATTAACAGTGAAGACTGGAGGAAAAAGAATAGATGCTGGATCCCCCTACACAACAGTGTCCCCTCCTTTTCCTTCATCTGCTCTACACTGAAAGTTCTGGTCAGGCAGTGGTTGCTTCTGTTAGCTTTAAATCTTCCCACCTATTTTTGTATCAATTAATTCACCCCACTACACCTTGTAAGGAAAAATTGGACTGTTTATATCCAGATGACCACTACAAGGCAAAAAAAGAGTTATTTCACTGTGTCTTTTTGATGTTATCTAGTGTTAGTCAAGATTCTTGCAGGCCAGATATGCCAGCCTAAGATATGCCAAAGATATCTTCATTGTGTAAAGTCCTTGCTGCTCAGTGCTTCTGATGTCAAACAACATGTGGAGTTTTTCCAAAACATGAAGCCTTGGTCATAGTCTATTTACATTAAATAATATGTGCCTTTTCTTCCTTGTATAACATAAAAATACATATACATGCACATACATACATCTGTAAAATACAAATATATTAAACAGCTACACTTAATTTTGCATATTACTTACTTCTAGGACCTTCCCAGTGATGAACTGGTGACATGCTTCACATTTGACCCCAAAGAGAACTTGATAGTCCTTTTCACAGTAAGGGGCACCATCTCTGAATGTAAACCACAAGATAGGAATTAGCTTCACTAATACAGTGGAACCTCGGTTTACGAACTTAATTCATTCCGTGACTCTGGTCACACCCCGAATTGGTTGC